ATTACCTATCAGGACTTAGATGGTGCTTGGAGCCAACACTTCTTCTCTTTTCTCTTTCTCTTTCTTTGTTTTTATTTCTCTTACTACTAGATGTTCCTCTAGGAAGTCAGAGATATATTATGAAAGGATTCCAGGTGACCCTCAGGTTTGCTGCACTCTGCAATCAAACTTGGAGACTTTTCTTTGAAACCATAAAAGGATGTGAAGAGAAAACTGGATTCTGTGGGAAGGCCCAGGTCTCTCCCAGGATGATGAAGCAATAAGAGGACACTCAGATTCAAAAGAGAAAGGGAAACACCACATCATTTATTTCCAAAGAAGATAGTAAAATGGACCTCCATGTACACAAAGGTCTTTAGAGGGAAAATGAATCACAGATCAGGTTTTAATTTATTTTTACATATATACATAAAATGAAGCCATGGCTTTCAACTATGTTTTCATTCAACAATCACTTTCAGTCAAATACATAACTTTTCTTTCAAGTTAGCTCATAATTTAAGGATGCTAAGGGGACCAATGATAAATCACAAACAGTATAGAAAGTCTAAGGTTTCAGTCAGGCTTTTTTTGTACATGTGAATTATGATTACAAAACATTTGCCTGTCTGTATAATTCACATTCATTGCAATCATTACATTTTCCATAAATTATTAATATAATATAAGCAAACATATGGGGGCCTCCAGTAAACAAATAGAAATCAATATAAGAGACAACATTTGTAGCAACTAGAATATCAGCATGGGTTACAGCTTGAGGAAACTTTTTTACAAATCATTTAGTCAGTACACATGGGGAGGGGAGACAGGATCATCCTTGTTTACTTCCAACACCTTTAAAACTACATCAGAAGGGTAGGGGAAAGCTGAACAAGGTGAAAGTATTTTTCCTGGGCACAATATAAAATGAAGAACTGCACATGTGAATGGGAGGGGAGTGTTTGCATGCATTTTGGGATCATTTTCTTATAGTCTGGACTTTTTGAATTCTAATTGCCAAGACTCCAAAGAAAGCAGGAAAGTATTAAATGTTTTTTCTACTTCAAGTTACTCTATTATGGCAGAAAAGGCTTGCTGATTACTGCTGATGGGAAGAAACTGACAATGAACCTATTTTTAGCAGAGATTGTCTTTGAAGGAGGAGGAAATATTAACAATCACTTGGCTGCAGACTTATGTTCCCAGGAGGCAAGAATATTGAGAGCTTGAGAAGTCCCCAGTGGACGCTCATCTAGGTGACCTGACTTGGACTGATGGAGTGCATGCCAGAGCACAGAGAAACACAAGTGTGGGCTTGGAGTATGCACTTTCTGCTTGCATCTTCTCTGCATTCTTTCGCCTATGTCCCAGAGCCTGTGCAAAGGGCCCCTAAACATCTGCATACCTCCATAGGCTCTGGACCTTTCTCTGCATTGCTTTTGATTTTTCCCTTAGCAGGACTTAGCCCTAGAGTTATCAGATAGTATGGTGTGCACACATTTTGTTAAAGAAGTTTGATTTTTATCTCGTTAGAAACGGTTTGAGACTCACCGGGCAGAGGGCATTTGACAGAGAGGAGAACAAATCGCTGACAAAGAACCTTTTACGTTTCATCAGCGTTGTTAGGACGACAAGCAGGAATGTCTCAGATAATAACTCCCACTTCAAAGATTTCTCAGCTCAATAGAAAGCGGACCATCCTTTTTATTCAACCACAAGGACTGGCACTAAAGAAGACTCAACTGTTTGATTTTTTTCCACCGTGTTTATTTTTCCCCTATTCATTGGGGTACTTAGATAAAATAAACAACAAGACAATTAAGGGAACATGGACTTCTAACTTTCCTGCCATCTTTCCTATCCCCTTGGCCTTGGGCTCTTGAGATCCCATCAAGGGCATTCCAGGCCTTAGGGGTACCAGAAACAAGTTTGTGGGACTCAGGAGGCTTCTAGAATGCAGAAGCAGGATGGACTGTGCTAGGGGCCAAAGTGTTAATGTCCCAAAGGCACAGTCTGAATTGCTCGGACTCATCCTAAAATCTTCCTTTGCCCCCAAGTCCCATTCAAATTCAGATCTGCACACTGAGTTACTCAAGACTCAGAAGCACTTCACACAAAATAGAAATGGGTGTGCTCATTTGTTAAGTTTCTAAGATTGCCCTCAAGTTCTTTACTCCTCACCCTGGAGCCTCTTTTGGGGCACAGTCAAGAATCACTGGAGTCCAGCTCCTCCCTTTCCTGGGCTGTGGCACCAAAGCACCTCTCTCTTACATGAGTGTGTGGGTGAACCCATAAAATCGGTAGAGTCAGGTCCTGAGGAGGAAGTGTATGCTGGAGATCGCAGTGACAGTATTAAATGGCGTGAAAGCAAAGATCAGCACAAATGTATCTTAATAGAGTGTCTGTAGTGAAGTGTGGCGCCTTTGAAGCGGCCGCTCCCCGAGCACATTTCCATGGCGAGCCTAACACGGCATGCTGATGCACCGTCAAACTCACACTTTCAACCCCAAAACTCGACTCTTTGAACAACCCGAGCTTGATTAGACCTTTCTCCTTTTCTTTCCCCTCTTACAAACCATTTCCTCGCCTTTAGAAACTTGCCATCAAACCCAAATGCGCCCTCTGATCACCGCAGAAAGCAGAAACAAAGGGAGCTGAGCGGCGATTCAAGCGGCCCTTTTCTTCCCTCACATTATTATCCATTTTTATTATGATCGGGAACAAGTGCCCATTCGCGTGGGTTTTGTTTACCGGAAATTAAATGAAAATGATTTAGTCCGCGTCAAACAAAAATATATACTTGTATACACAAGAAAAAAGGCCTGTTAGACGTAAATATTATGTCCTTAATGAAAAGCCTGGACGGGCTCCAGGCTTGGCCTTTCAGGATTTCAGTGCAACTTGCCCATTGCCATAGAAATCCTAACTTACCATGAAGATGCACCGTGGCGAAGAAACATTGCATTGTGCGCGGGCCCTTTGATGTCGCAGGCGAGAGATGCTGGCGCTCAGCTGCGCCAGGCGAGATTACCTTGCGAGCAACGCGGTGGACATCTGTAACAAGCAAATGAAAAATTAAAGGCGATTAATGGCCGACCAAACATTTTTATTTCATTTCATTATTTTAGAGGGTGTAGAAGACAAAAATGGGGTCTAGAAATAGAAGAGAAAGAAGTCCTATTTGTTGGGGGTGGGGGGTGTTAAACACTGTCAGAAGAAGCAAGTTCTGCAGATGCCCTCTGCACTTTGGCCGTGGGGCGGATCTTTTCCTATGGGAAGGAATTGTTTGCTGAGGAACCCATCACTAGCACCAGGCTGCCCCTGGCCCCTGTTTTAAAGGGAGGTAAGGAAGAAGAGATTGTAGTTCCCTTTCCACAACAACGGATTCACTAAGGATGTATGTGGGAGATTCTGGTTTGTATTAGAGTTAATGAAAACATTCCCACTCCAGCTAGAACATTATTTATCTTATTATAAGTATAGGACTACAGGGCAGGCCTGAGAATTGTCTAATGATATCTGAAGAGGAAAGAGAAGAAAATCCAGCTGAATGGCAGAGCACGGACTTGTTTGCTAGGTTTGCCTCTTAAAACCAAACTCTTTAGGGGACTCCCTTTAAGTGGAAATACCACACCCTTACTATATCCAAATGTCTAGGGAATAGGTCTGCCACATCTCTTAGAGCCACTTTTTATTTTTCACATCTTATCAAGGATTTCAAGGCAGGCCCATCCTCTCTATAAAGGAGGAAAGACTGGGAAACAGGCATTGATATACCCCCACACTCCCCCACCCCTGTCCCCTACATGAAGACTTCCCTCTTCTCTGTCCCCAACATCTGTTTCTTCTGGGGATTTGGTACACAGTATGTCAAATATATTCAATGCAGCCCCTTTATATATGTTAAACACACACACACATAACAATATTGTGTGATTTTTGACAAAGACTATCACAGAATTGGCTCAATTCACCCAGCTACTATTACCTAGACTTCTTTCATTTTCCCTTTACTGTGTCTACCTCAGCTCAGTGATGTCATCTGCTCACTGAGTGGCAAAGCACCCAAAGGATTCTACAAACAGTGCCTGATGAATCTTAAAAACCTGGACTCCAGCACTCTTTGTATGTATTTGCTTTTGTTTGGATTCAGTCTCTACCCCAATAATACGACTTATATAGAGCAGGTTAACCAGCAAACCACATCAGTGTGGTTGGTGAATGTGATCTCCAAGGGAAGTTGCTGAAACCAGCAGCCCTATCTCCTTTATACAAGTGTTTGGAAATTTTGAGATCTGGGACTGTGTATTTTTGTTTCAAAGTATAGTTGGGGGAGGAGGAAGTGTAGGGAGACATTAAAAAAAAAAAAAAGGAAGGAAACATATCCATCGGAAGCTGCAATGGGAATGGGGGTAGATCTCTCAGCATCTAGGCCTAGAAAACATTACCTCCTCTATGAAACACCTGAGGACTTTGTGGTGGTCTTACTTTTGCCACCTGCAGTTGCCAAGATGGTGTATAAGATCTCCAATATGTATTGATTCTTCTGCCAGTCTCATCCTCTTCTTTCTTTATCCCCAAACAAGCTTCATGCTATCTAGCCTTGATGGAGTCTGTGTGGATGGGTGTGGTTGTGCTAGGTTGTGCTAGGTGTGTTTATAGAATAAATGTTACATTGATAACAAATGGATGCAGCCAGTTATATCTTAAAATAATGGACCTTAAACCAGCACATTCAATGAGATCCAACTAGTGGTGACTGGCCCTTGTTTTCTTCCTTTTTTCCTTCCTTCCTTCCTCCCTCTCTCCTTCTCTTCCCTCTGTCCTTCTTCAGGCTCTCTTCAAACCTCACTAACCAGGATTACCCAGGCAGTGAGCTAAAGCAGAAACTGCAACCATAGAAGCAGACTATTCAAGAAATAGCAGTGGCAGCATCAGGACAAGATAGTGGCGGGGGCCTTCAGGGCACGATCGGGGCAACTGAGTTGAAACCTGCGCCCGTCCTGACACACATACCATTAGCTCAGGTCGCCACGCGCAGCCACCACCGCCGAGGAGGCCACTAGGGGCTCGCGGCGGAAGTCAGACGAGGACGACACGAGGGTAGACAGCGTGGCCGAGTCAGTGCCAGAACTAGGCGGCGGCGGCGAGCGCCCATGAACCTTCATGTGCTTTCGCAGGGAGCTGGGGTGCGTGTAGCATTTGTCGCAACCGCGTACTTTACACGTGTATGGCTTGTCGCTCGTGTGTACGTGTGAATGCTTCTTGCGGTCGCTGCTGTTGGCGAAGCGCCGTTCGCAGCCTTCGAACTCGCACCTGAAGGGTTTTTCCCCTAGTGGAGGCAATACAGAGATATTAGTATTCGTGGGCGGCGGCCCTGTATCTGCTTCACCACCCTTCCCCCATTTCTCTTCCTTTTTCTGGGGGTAAAAAAAAAAAATCACAAAAGAAACCTCAGACCCGGCACCCCCCCCCTTCCCCGCCTCAGAGCACACCCCCAGAGTTCCCTCCAGCACGCCTCTACCCCTCCCCCCCTCCCGCCGGGGTCTGAGGGGAGGGTACAGAGGAGGAGCGACAATGACTCCATCTTAGTGGAGTTCCCATCCTGGAAAATTCTAATCCACTCCGACTGTCTTCCTCCAGGTTGTCTCACTTGGTGCTAGAAGCCCCTCTGTCCCGAGGAAAAGCGATTTAAGGAGCTCTCATCTGCTCGATTTAAAATTACTGATCCAGCCAAAATTCTGTGCCCTCCGTCCATCATTCCACTCCCCACACACCCCATCCTGGAACAAATTGTTTCCTAAAGTAATTTTTGTGCAAACGTCAGGACGATAGACTACTTTAAGATGCTCAGTCAACGCACACAGGATGTGCATAATGTGGATTCGTGCTGCAGGGAAAGGTAGTCTGAGCAATAATTCATTTCAGAGGTGATTTTTACGGGAATCAGAGTCTCCTCCCCTTCTTTCTACTCCCTGAGGGCAAACATTTAGCAGCCTTCTTTAAATCCTGACTAAAACGTCCCAGATCCCTCCAGAATACGCGCGCCCGCAATATTTTATTACTCTGCTCCAGCGGCCTTGCGGAGAAGCCGCCACCAGCGGCCGGCTGGCTCTCCCAGTTTGAACACTTGGTGCGAGGTAGACTGCGCCCCCCACCTCCACCCCCTCAGACCACCCACTTCCCGCGATCAGTCTCGCAGGCTTGATTCAAGAGGCCAGGTCTGCTGCGCCAAGTGGGATCCGAAATCTCTCCCGCAATAACACCCTTTGAGCCCCGCGGTTACGGACAGCGCAGATGAAGTGATCTGGTCGGACTTGACTCCGCCGACTACAGGGCAAGCAGGCGTCGGGATAGACCCGCGAGGGGCTGGGATTAGGCGGTGCGATGCGCTGTAGAGCCGCGGGAAGGCGCGAGAGCACGTTAGGGTGGAAACATTGGCCGAGGATGCAGCCCCAGTTTTGAGCTCATTGTCGAGAGGATTCCCTGGTTTATGAAGAAGGAAAGGACCCGAAGATAAATCCTGCGCAAGTTGCTGCAAGGGCTGTAGATATTGCGAGAGGGAGGGGAAAACATGTGTAGGTACTTTAAACAAACGGATGCCACAGAGCGCCCCAGGTTGATGGGAAGGGCAGCAAAGAGAAGTTTTGGAGGATCGTTGCCTTTGTGGTCGCTTCTCCCGCGGCTTCCAGAAAAGACAGGAGCAGTGGGGCAGGTTTGAACAAAGGCCCTTTGCCCAAGCTGTGCTTAGGCTATGGTTGAGTCACTGGTTTGAGCACAACTATCGGTTGCTTTCGACAGCCCGTTGAGAGTCCAGTTCACCCCCCCCCCACTGAATCAGTCCCCTATAGGAGTATTATTAGTAAGTACAGTGGAAGACTGGACAGTACTGGCTTATGCCCCCCCCCTTTTTTTTTAAGACTCCGGTATCCTTTCATAGCAACCAAAACAAAATAAAAGGAGGAAAGCGATAGAATAAATTAGTGTCCCTATTTGTCCCTTCGGTTTTTTTCCCCCCCAGCCCTTCTTAGCATTTGCAATACTAAAACTTCCTTCTTTCCTTCCTTGTAAATTCATTTACTAGAACCATGCACTTTAGTTACTGTAAAGGGAAACTATATGCTGAAAATAACTGGAGGAATGCAATTTCAGCTTGATCCTCCCCCCCTCCACACACACACATATTCCCCCAAACACACTTATACCACCTTGAGAGTGCCTCATTCAAAAGAATTCCTTTGTCCCAGAGGAGGAGTTGAGGCGAAAATATACAAACATTCATTCATTCATACATACATACATACATAAGGCAGGGCACTGGTAGTGATGCCGGCCGCTTGGAAGTTCGGAGGCCCCTGGGAGACCAGGTGAGGCTTCGCCCCAGCAACCTTCGGATCTCTCCCCAGCTGCTGGAGGCTTTCGGGTTTCAGGCCTAATTCTGTACCCCCATTCCTTTCCGCAGCCCCACCCCCCAGTTTCCCGCCTTCCTCCTCCCACCAAGTGCGGGCGCTACGCCCCGAGGTGGGTGGGTGGGTATGAAAAGTCAGGATTGGGCTAGGACTCCGCTGGCCATCCGGAGCGGCCTTGGGCCTGGGGTTGAGTAGTGAAAGACCCGGAGTCCCTTGCAAGAGGTTTAGTGTCCAACAGAGGCGTCCTGCCCTCCCCGCGCCAGGCCGGTCTGACAAAGTTCCCTAGCAGCATGGCAGATGAGCTAACACCATTTTCTGGCACTTGTGGCTGGACCAGGTTATCCAGGCGCCCCCGCCCAGCTGCTGTCTCTATTCCTCCACCTGGGCTCCTTAGCGCTCAGGTCTCTGTCTTTCTTTCCGCCAGGCCGGTCTCCGCCCCTCTCCCCCCCACCCTCCCCCCACCCCTCCACCTAGTCCCGGCTGCCGGGGGAATTAGGGAAAGTCCCAGCCTAGAGGTTTCGGAAGGGGCACCGGCTGTGGGGGCCCGGCGGAGCTCAGCAGCTAACCCGCGACGAGCACCATTGTTCGGGATTGCTATGGCCTCCGCAAAGTGAAACCTTTCGGTGTGGATTTAGGGGTTTAGGACAGCTGCCTCCGAAGTTATCCCCGGGTTTCGGATCTGGGAGAAGTTCAACTTCTGAGAAACCGGTTCCTATTCGCTGCTTCTGCGACTCGAGGAAATGAAATGCCATTAATATTTGAAAAGGCAATTATTTTCCTGTTGAATCCAAAACTGTCTTCATGAATAATTTGTAGTGAAATCTACTGCCCTTTGAGAAACACTTTGTTAGGTTTTCCCCCTTTTTTCATTACCTGGAGGGGGGTCGGGTTGAGGGAAATGCAGAATCAGGCAAGGCATTGCAGATTTGTTTTTCCTTAACCCTACTGATAAGGAATCGGAACCAGTGCAAACGATGTGCTTAGAAGTCGTGCTGAATAGACTCAAACCTGAGCCAGCCCTGGCTCACTGAACTTGTTTCTCTGCTGTAGGTCGATTGCTCTAAGAATTTAACCATTTTCTGCTTCACGGACTTCAAACAGAGGCCAGGCAAAGAGCAGTAAAAGTTTGTTTGTTTTAAAACACCCTGCCTCTAAAATGAGTTCCTTCTCCTATTGGGGACTGAACATCTACCTTCGAAGTGCTACAACCAGCTCACTGAAAAAGCAGAATTAAGGGTGGGATATCAGGGCTTCTCTCTCCCATTCCTAGGGTTAAACTTGGAGAGCAGGAGGGGAAAAACAGATGCTGGCAAAATGGCAAGGGAATCCTGGAAACAACTGGAGAAAACCACACATTTCCATATTTGCTCTGGAAATAGATTATTGGACTAAAATGGGACCTTGGCATGGATGAACTAAAAGTGTAAGAATAATGTCTTGGTCCAGGTCCTCCTCCAAGATTGCAGGACTGGGGGGTTAGGGCTGAGGATGGAAGGTGGGAGTTAACAAATTTATTTTCCTGACAATGTCAGCCTGGGGGAATTCTTTGACTCTTAATTGCTGATGTTTCCACCAAGAATAGAGGTGAGTAAGGCAGAGCGCCAGGGAGTAGAAGTGTGGCACCAAGCTGGAAGTTATTTAATTTTCTGGTGTCCCTACTGCTCTCCTTCTCCCATGCCCAAAATGGGGGAAAGGAAATGTTGACTTTTTTAACTTTAGGAGGGGGGATTTGAGAAAATCCTAAAGAGAGTATGAACTTCTACTGCTAGGCTAATTAATATAACTTAACAGGCTGTTCTGGAAAGTGTGAAAACTTTCTTCTTGCAATTGCATTAATTAGAGATGCTTCTGGCCAGAGTAGTTCAACCTTGCACGATCTTGCTGGCTCCCTTTCTTTTTGTTAACTAGAACAGAAGAAGTTGACATATTTCCCCATTTCACTTAACTCAAAAAATGCCATGGTGGATGGGTCTTGTTAAGTCTCTCCTAAAGCAAATGGAAGGATGGTCAAAAAATCTAAGGGTAGGGTGACCAAGGCTCCAGCATGGAGCTAAATGAGACCCCAAATCCTAAAGAAGGTGCCAAGGGCCTTATCTCTCAGGTGGCAGTCACATTATCAGACTGACTAATGGACAGAGTGTTTGCCATATGATTCCAAAGGGACCGACTGGTAAAAGACAATTGTTCCTATGCCTTTACTACGTTGGGAAACAGTGACTTTTTACATACCTTAAAATCAAACTCAAAGAAGGAGCACAGAGTTTCATGTACAGAGACTCAAGCAATGCACCCTCCAACCCCTACCCCCCTCCAAGCAGAAATCCCGTATCCTGCACAAAGTCCCTCGGGAATCTTATGTGATTATAAGAATAAAAGGGCATAATTAATATTTTATGAACTTGTTTCATGAAAATACCAAAATACCCTCCCCACCAATTGGAACTTGAGGAAATCCAGTCCCCAAGGTGGGAGGCCTGATTCCCGAGAGGATTCAAGTGAGACAGACGGTGCATAATACTGACCTGTGTGAGTTCTTTTGTGTATTTTGAGATTTTCTGATCTAGCAAAGACCTTCCCACACCCCGGGAAAGGACAAGGGAAGGGCTTCTCCCCCGTGTGCACACGGATGTGATTTACAAGTTTGTATTTGGCTTTAAAGGGCTTGCCCTGTCGCGGACACTCCTCCCAGAAGCATATGTGGTTGGCCTGCTCCGGGCCGCCGACGTGTTCCACGGTGACGTGTGTAACCAGCTCGTGCATGGTGCTAAAAGTTTTGGAGCAGAGACGCTGGGGTGCGGGACTGTTGGTGGCTAGCCACTTGCAGATGAGCTCCTGTTTGATGGGCTGACGCATGTAGCGGAAGAAGGCTCCGGGGCCGTGGGGTGAGGCAAGGTTCACTGTCAGGTTCATGCCCCCGTAGCTGTGGAGGGCCGCGGCAGCTGCCAGAGCGTCGGTGCGGGCCACCGGTCCCTGCGCTATGGGTTCAGGCCGCGCATACATGTCTCCGGGGAGCCCCAGACGCAGGAGTCCGCTCAAAGAACCGCTGGGATAGGCCTTGGAAAGCTGTTCTGGAAGGCGCGGGATGACCGCGGGATTGGAGGCAGCAGCGAGCTGGGGCCCATGGTGTCCGGAGCTGCTACCTGTTATGGAAACAAATAGCGCGCTTGAGAACGAGTCGTGTGGGCTGCTCGTTTCACCCGGCCACCGGGGGCAGGCCCAATCAGCCCGGCCACTCCACGGTCTCTACGGTCAGCGCCGAAACCGAGAACCAGACCGCCGCGACAGCAAACGCCAAGCGCCTCCGTCGCCGCTGGTCTGGGCCACTGTTTGGTAGAGGCCCTGCCGCGCCATGAGTCGGAGATGGAAGGTGGCTGCGGGGCAGGTGGAAAGGGCAGGGTGTACTCAGTATTGAGTCTGTGGGTTGCTGGGGTCCCCAGAGGTCTGTTCCAGAGGGTCCGACCTAAACACCCAAGAGCGCCACAGCCACCGACTTCCCGGGGCTCTGAGAGTTGCGGCGCCCAGCTGGGAAGTGGAGGTGATGTTGTAAGAGGTGGTGATGATGAAGCGCCGGGTCATGTATACTAATTTCAGCGCCCAGCTCAGCTGGGAAAGGGCGGCCCGCTGCATCTCCGCCTTGGCGCTCGATTGCTGCCAGATCTAACCGCTCAAGCCACTGTCACCAGACAGCAGGGAGGGGAAGGGAAAACCACAAAAAAAGAAAGAAAAAAACTTGTGCAAAGTTTTTTTTTTTTCCTCCCCTCAAGTTTCGGGTTGTGACTTTTCCCCCCTCCCTCTCTCGGTCTTTAGTGCCCACTTGAAATCCCGTGCGCTACAGAGGTAGCAGCGGGGCGCGTAAGGAAGTGAATAGAGATTCCGGGCGGAGACCCGGACCCGCGGAGAGGAACAATTGCCTAGGTCGCTTATTGGCTCGCCGCCCGTCTCGACGTCAGCGACGACAGGTCCTGCCGCACGCGGGTATGCGCGCGCGCGCATGCACACACACACACACACACACACACACACACACACACACCCCGACACACACAGAAAGAGAGAGAGAGAGAGAGACAAACGCACTAGCTAGCGCTTTCACTTCCCTTCTCTCCCTCCTCCTCCTCCCCCTCTGTCCCTCACGCCTCTATTGCTCATGCGCTCTGACCCGGGCACGAATTCTTTTCTCTCCCCCTGAGCCCCATCCCCCTCTTCACCCAAAGCTGTTCTACTTTGCGGCTTTTGGAAATGAGCTGGGCTGGGATATGCCTCCATTCACCACGACTTTGGGAAGGGGATGCTGAGTTACACTTAACATCCTTAGGATAGACCGGCGGACCCGGCAGTGCCCGAACTGAAGAGCGGCCCCAGGCGGGCGGGATAGTGGTCTACTTTGAATGTTTGTCCCGGGATCCTGGAGTAGGAAAAGGGAGGGCCGGGATACAGGGACTCGAGAACTCATAGGTTAAAATATTCATTTTCTCGCTCTTCTTGAGATTTCTCAGATCTGCTGTGCTTTCTCAAGCCCCCACCCCACCCTCTCATTTCTCCCCTTCGCCTTCCTATTTGGGTCCTTTCTTATCCCCTCCCCCTCTTTTTCTTCCCCTTACTATTCAACGCAGTTAGTTTTTCCAGCCCCTCCTCCCCGGTGCCTGGCGCGCTCCAAGACTAGCGAACCTCCAATCCATCCTTGCCCAGAACTAAAAGTGAGCTAGAGACAGAGATGACTTGGGAGACTGGCCTCGAACCCACATGGCCCTTAGGAGGGGTTCTGAAAATCCTCTATGGCACAAATCACACCGGCCCCGCGCACTGGTTGTTGAAGGAAACAAAGGCAAGGGAGATTTAGCAAAAGGGAGCTGGTTTGTCTTCAACCACGTCTCTCTCTGTCACTTTGCGACCTTGAGCACTGTACCCTGGGGTCTGATTTAGCCGCCGGGAAACAGGACTTGAGGACCACTTCCACATTTTAGTTCCGGCCACTTGTTGCCCCTGCTGAAGTCTCTGCCTCTATCCCGGCTTGCTTTAAAGGGTCTGTAGAGAGCGAACGCCACGTTTTCTGGGCCTGGATGTTAGAGGGGCTTGGAGTAGAAGGTCTGCTCTCATAGGGACTCCCTCCCGGGCTGCAGATCCCACGGGTGAGGATGAAGAACCTTCAGGTCTGGCCAGAAGTTAGGTGGAATAAACACAGAGAGTAACCTTTGTTTGTGCTGACCGGTTAGGGCCGGCTGCACCACCCGGAGACTTAAAGGGCTGTTGGCCCACACCCTTGTTCTTTGTAGCGGAAAATACCCCCCTAAACACTTGGACCTCCCTGGCGGTAATAGAAAGCTCCCCAAAAAGCAGAGAAACGGTTGGATGTTTAAGACAAATTTTAAGGATTAAGTACAAGAACCCAAAGGACTGGCAGAGGGGAGACGTTTGGTAGATTAAGAAGAGCTCAACTTTGAGTTGATTGAGCTGATATATACTTAGTTCCTAGAACTAAGGATTTTTCTTGTGTAATTTTGGTAAGGAAATAATAGCTTCTTAAAAAAATTAAAACAGTTAACTTATTTATAATGGTTGCCAGATTCTTTGAGACATTCTTCATTTAGTGCCTTGTTCCCTAGTAGAAGCTTCATTTTAGCTAGAGATTAATTTCCACAACAATTTCCCTGCACTTTGACAAGTCCTGGTCTTTCTACTGCTTAGGCCGGAAGAGCTTAAGCAATGCAACAAATAGATTATGCATTAGCATAAAAAAAGTGGAAGGAGAGCATTTGACAGTCAAACTGCTTCTGCTCTAAAATCCAAAGGCTCCCATGAAGCAGTGTTGAGATTTGACTTTGAGGATTGTCTTCGTTTCTGTCTTTCATTTCACCCTGTCTCATGCTCTCATTTTCTGGGAATTATCCCTCTGCACATTGTGGCCTCTCATCCTGGTCACCAGTCCAGTGTTCCTTTCCTGGAAAGGAAAACTGGCCAAGCTGAGTCCATGGCTCAGTGAGTGGTTTCAAGTTGTCCCATTTCTCTGTCCTCTGCTACATGATATAGTTCCCTAGGTGAATATGGGCTGAAACCATAAAAGGCTTGGAAAAGAACAAAACCCAAACAAACAAACAACAACAACAAAAAAAAAACAGATGAGTATGTTTCTTCCAGGCTTTTCCTTCTTACCATCCTTCAACATGGAACTTAGTCACCTCCTCCTGTAACATTCACCTAACATGTAGGGACAATTTAGCAGCATTAGTCAACTAAAATGTTTTCTTACCTTCTGCATCTAAGCAATGTACAACCAACTGGTCAAGATGTTTGTTAGACCAAACATTCACTTTTGCTTTGAGGGAAAAAAATGCACAAAAATGGATTCCTGAATTATGCACCTATCAAAGTCTTTGAACAACATGAGTACTTAAGTTGCTGTAGACATCTAGCCACTTTTTGAAGTTGCTGTAGATATCGAGCCACTTTTTGAGTCTGGGGAGAGTGGTACCTCTAATAATCCTGTGTTTGTTGTACACACTCATCATAGAAGAAAATAATAACTTTCCACTGGAAGGTGTTAAAAATAAATATGCAGTGTTTTCCCACCCATACTATGGATCTCCTGAATTCTAAGCAATGACTCCAGATTCCAAGAAGAGAAGCAGATGATTTTTTATACATAAACTCTCAGTACACTACAGATTTTCTCTACTCATTACTTTTTGAACATGCATATGGCTTTTTCTGCCAATAACAAAAGGTCAGATACAAATTATGAGGCAGTAGCCTAGCCCCAAGGAATGCCTTCCCAGATATAGCCTTCCCTTGAAGTGCTGAATATATGTGTATGCATCCTGGATAGATGCTTCTTGAGTAGCCAATAGTCAAATGACCATTTTATCACTATGGTTATCTCATCCTTACAAGTTCCTTAAAGTTGTATGTTTCACCTTAGTTGACTATACAGCAGTAGAAACAGGCATTCTCTCAGAGATGGACATTTTCACATGGAAGAGATATGGAGGAAAAGAACCCATTTTATCCACTAATATTTATTAATAGTAATTCTAGGCAATTATGTAAGGGTCTTCAAAGCCTATCTCTAAAATAATCCCCAAAGCAGTTTTCATCTAACTGACAAGTGGGGCAAAAATAGCAGAGAGAAATATTTTAATCTTCAAAACAGTTCCTTTAAGACTTCCAGTGTCCAAGTAGCCGGGAAGTCTGAGTTTTAGTGATTATTGATCAGACAAGCTAAGGAGTGGTATCCCTCAATGGTGATCAAAAATCTTCCTTTTAGAAAGTTATCTCACCACATTTATCCCCCAAATATAGAATTGTAATATTCTGTTCTGATCACACTAGAGGTTACAGCATTTCTGAGTCCATTCCCTTGTTTGATTTGCTAAGGAAAGACATATTCTGTAGCCCAGAGATCCAAAGGAAAGGTCGTAAAAACCCTGAAAATTTTCATGGGGACCTATCTGGAGAAGATTCAGCAGTCTACCAACAGTTCCCAAACATCCCTCCAGTTTTCCAAATCATGCCCTAAGCATCTCTGTTCAATATAGCCAGGACAAGCAACAACATTTGATAAAGTGATTTTCTAATCCTGCTGCATAGAAATATGACATTTGGTGTCCCTACCATCTGCCAGAGCCTTCACACCACTGGGTAAAATTGGGTGGAGGGAAGTCTGACTTTTTTCCCTTGGTCAAGAAATGGGGGGATTTCAGATGAGTATCGAAGCTATTTTTTTCCATTCTAATTTTTAAAACACTGCCAACTGATGACTATCTGTTGAAGGTTATGCTCAGGGCAGAATCACAAAAGCTGAGGGCCACTGCACAGTGTCTAGTCAAGTACAAGCCTTATTGCCTGAATATTCTGTATCTCGACCTGCAGTCCCTTAGATCTACAGTCACTTGTTAGGTCCTTTCCTTGCTAGTTCTGTACAGATGACTACCTGAATCAAGGGAAAATTTTCTTTATAAGCTATTCACAGACAGATTTCAGAATTCCTGCAGTGAGAGGTTATCTCTAGTCATAAGAAAATTAACTTACGCCCCAAGTTCACACCATATGCCCAAATTGTACAAATGAAATACATCAGAATTTTGAAGATAAAGGAGGATATAGCTTTTCTCTTTTATGGAAGTTTGGACTTTAATCATATTTAATAGAACTGAGTATGAAAGAGAATGTAAATGTATTTGGATAACATTTAACATCCAAGCAACATTTTTGCAAAATACCTTTTGACAAAATAATAAGAAATATGGCTAAAAGAGCTTCCAGAACAGCATTGAGGTATCAAAACAATGGCATTTATATAATAATCACATCTTTTTTGAGGATATTTCCATCAAATAACCCCCCAAATGATATAAAAGAAACATTTCTTGAGTTGTCCATTTAACTTTTGTAAGAAGCCTGCTTTTCCTAGCAATAAGGGAACACCTTATAGGCAATTATCAGCTGGTAGTGTAGTTGAAATGAGGAAACTAGATGCCTGGAAGGGGAAACACCCAACTCTAAATCATATGCTTATTCTAAATGGAATATTAAATTAAATTCTTCACAATGAAGGTATTCCTAACAGAGCAGCTGTCACTCACTCCTTGTTCAGACACCACATTGTGGGAATGTCATTGCCGCCACATTGCAGAAGGCTGGTGTCCCTGGTAAAGATGATGCATATCATGTAAACCCCATCACCAAGATCAAAGTCTGCTCCTTTTATGGAAGCCAATACATGTCAAACCTCATTCCAATCAAATCGTCTGGAAATGAATTCAAGATGAATATGTCATAGAATAATGTGACAGTGGAACTGCAGAAGGTCAGGGGTGGTTGTTTCAATGAGAAAGTCGTCAGATATTAATTCTAGAATGTCCAGATGAGTAGTCATTGAGGGGGATTAACCGGTTGCTGGTGGGGTGTCGTGTGTCTGATTTGTGTTTAGATGCATCGAACACTGAGGTGTTCTTCTAAGTTTCATTACAACTCCAGAAGCACCCCAAACCTACAATCTCACACAACCAAAAGACAAAATGAAACCTAATTAAAAATTTACATCAGTCAGTCAATATTCAAAAGATTTTTAACTTACTTGACTCTTTGAGGTTGTTTCGGTAAAGTCGTAATCGTTTCCTCATTACCAAAGAAGCTTTGTATCTCATTTTCTGACTTTGAAGCTGGAAAGAAAAAGGACAGACGCTAGTTAAACACTTTCATGCACATTTTTATGTTCATAAGATGCTGTGACTTGAATGCATGAGTGAAAATAAGTATTGATATGAAGACTATTTCCTTAATCATTTCCAAATTTGGAAGTAAAATAGGGTTTTCCTGAAAACTATCCATACTTACTGTAAAACAATATGTCCCTGGTGATAAAAATATTTAAAATCATAATTCCCCAACTATATTGTTATCTGAAACACATTGTTAATCTACTCTGCAAATAGAAATTAGGTGCCCCTTTAACAAGGTAGCACTCAAGCATCCTTAACTTCATAAATTTGAATTTATTACATAGAAGCCCCATTACTTTCTTTAAGCTTATTGAGTTTAGTGAAGTGTAATGGGAAGCCTTGGTGTCCTCTGGGAAGTTAGCATGCTAAAAATTGAGGTGTAAGCATGAAACTGAGGAGAGGAAATTTTTTTTTAGCAGTTTTGTAGATTTTGTTCTGGCAATGGTGATGTGAAGTGCCTTATCTTCATGTCTTCCACCCCCAGACCTATTTGAAATGTTTGGAAATGATCACTGTCTTGATTTTTTCTTGCAAATGTAAAATTCACTAGGTTAAGGGTGAAAGTATATCATTTCTATTATCTAATACTGGCTATCCCTATTTCTTAAATAAAGAAGGTGAAACATACATACTTTTTCAGTTTCAGTTCATGGGTAGTACTACCAAGCTCTGGCCATCTTAAAATCTGAATCCTATGCTGGGGATTTCTACCTCTGTCAGGAATGGCTAAAGGCAGTGGAACAGCCAAACAGAGGCAATCCACCCAGCTCAGCCCTCAATTTGGCCTAGAAAGACAAACAATCATTGAAAAGGTCTCAGGCTGAATAAACACAGCTAGCCTTCTGTCAATGAGGATATCTGCCTATCTTGACACTCCAGAACAAGTAGTTGTTTAACTTGTTGAACCACAGGCTAAATCCATGTGGGGCTCTGCTATCTCAAAGGTTTGCCAGTTCTCTATACTCAGAGATTTCTCTCTCTCTTCCTCAACCCCCAAACCACATTTCAACTAGTTTGGGTCTTTTTACCCTTCCTTTCTTTACTAGGACTAATCCTAAGGGATGTTGGGGTAGACTCACCTTTTACCAGAAGGTTTTGTTTACTTTGAATTATTTCTAATCAAAAGGCATCCATCCTCAAAGGTAATAAGTTCCTTCCCACATTAATCAGGAAAGGAGGCCCAACCTAGTATTCCTACAGAAAGAAAGCATGCTGGCATCCTTGTTCTAAAATTTCCTCATGGCAGTATGTCTGGCAAAAGGAAAAATCCTGGTTATTTGGAACTAATAAAATTTATTTTTTGCACTTCAGAAGGAAATGGAAGTGAACCCTGTCCATCGACAACACTGCTCAAGTCCTCCCTACAAGAGGCCTGGGTCACTTCTATCCCCAAGTTCTAGTGTCCTTAGTGAATTACAAACCCACAGTCATACAAACATTGCAAAATTGACTCCTGAAAACAACTGTAATTAAGCCACTTTCTGTAGTAACTCTGGCCAGTTAAGTGCAGGAAGCCAGGGTAAGACTCTTCTCCTTTGGTTCAAACTTTGACCCAGCTTACCTAGTCAGTCATCTGGATCAAAATGGATGAGAGAATTGTTAACATTCCCTCCATCCCTGGAGCTGATATCTTCAGCAACCCATCGATATCAAAGTTTTGAAAATGCTCAGCTTGGTTATGCCTAGCTTGTTTCCTCACACTTGCATTGCCACTAAATATCCAGTCAGGATCACAATTTAGATATTTATTGGCATATTTCTTCTTTCCTATACCTTAAGAAAAGGAAAAGGTGTCAGCGACCCCAGTAATTGATCGTGCTAGAAGAGAGTCCAGGAAGATGTGCTAGTGGGTATATGCAAAAGACACCATTTTTCTTTGAGGGGAACACAAAGGCTGCATGTTGTGAACTCACTCTAACTGGGAAAGGCCTGCTTTAGGTCAAAGGTCACCAGCAGCCAGCTTCCCCAACCAGCACCTTCAGTCTCCGTGCCCTTACCTGTAGCTCCATACTGAACAACTAACAACCATGCGTGCAAAAGGCTACTACCCACAACTCAGAATGGCAAACACAGGGTTGATGCTCTAAAGGTTGCCTGGGAATGCCCAGGTCAAAGCCAAAATAGTCCCTGTCTTTGCTAGGGTCTGGAGTAGCCAACTATTCCTGGCAACTGTCTGCTTCCCCTCTATCAGATGCTCAAGCGCCAGGATGTTGAGTTTAGAGACTGGATTGTGCAAGGGCCTTTTCTCATTCTCCAGTTCCCTAGAGGACAGAGCTCACCGATTCCTCCCAACAGAAGGTTGGAGGATTTCTGTGTATTCAGAGTCTAATCCATATTAGTGGATGACCTGAAGGACCATGCTGCACGTTTTAATGTCCCTTTGAGAGCCTCCACGTTACCCACACCTGCCGGCACATAGAGGGAGGGAAGGATAGCTGTGGGCCAAAGAAGAGCAAGGCAGGGGGAAATTATGACCTTGGAAACCAGAAATATTTCCCTGCAGACAGTTCTGGTCAAGGAGCAGCCACCAAACTCCCTTTCTCTGATCCTAACACCTCGTTGGCTCCTAGCCCTCCCCAGTGGCACATTCATCAACCCAATGCTCACTCTGGTCAAGCCTTTGAGCAGTCCTAGCTTTCTTTCCCAAACTAACTCTGTACCCGTCTCCCCTCCCTTGCCCCTAAATTTCAGGACCCCTCGGAATCTAGGATAGTGCCTAGAATCCAAGACGACTGCGGCCTGCTCCCCAGAGAGCTGGTCAAAGCCCTCCTTTGCTTGCGGGAGAAAGAATCCAAGTCCTAGACCTTTGGCGGGTGGCGCGCGCAGAGACCAGATCCCAGCCGTCTGTGTCCTGAGGCAGGACCAAGATGCTTGAAGGCGAGGATCCTGCCCCGCTGCTGACCTAGCCGGCATCCGCTGTCAGTTTGGGGTGGAGAAGTTCCATCATCTTGCTGCCAGTCGGACTAACTTGGATCTTTTGACCCCGGGGAAGGGAAGCCGAGACCCTCCCAGTCATCCTCCTGGGGACAAGGCAGAGAAACTGCCTGCAGGGCCCCCCTCCTTGTGCGGACCCCCTCACTCCGCTCGAGGGAAACTGTGAGCCACCATATCCCTTCTTCTGTCGCGATGGGGCACCCAGGCAATTTACAGGAGGGGAATGAAGGCAGGCGGGCCACAAGCTGCTCTTCGCCTCCTTGCCAGTGGGAGACCCGTTCGTCCCCCTGGTCCCTCCCCCCTCCTGGGAAGAAGGAATGAACTCACCTCTACCGCCGCCGCCTCCTCCCCAGTCAGTGGGGTGGGGCCTATACTGTAGGGTGGGGGTGGGGGGTGCTAATGAGGAAGGAGATAAAGGAGAAAGCCCAGCTGGGTTTCTTCCCCTAGTGTGGTTTGGGTGCCAATGACACCATAAAGGCTCTTGCTACCGGCCACTGGGGGTACAGGTCCCGTCTGTCTGTCCCCAGGACTCACGCACTTACCCCACTCCACCTGTTGCCGAGATCGCCTCATTTCTGCACATCACTTTGGGGTGGCTGAGGGGGAACCACAAACCCCTTCAAGCCTCTCTTTTGTGGTTCCAACGAGGCGGTCATCCTTCATTTCTCCTTCTCTAGCTTTCGGGAAGCAGTTAGAGAATGTATGATGAAGCAGAAATGAGCCGTCAGGATGATATTTTAATGGCTTATATGTCACGTTGGTGCATGTGGCTTTGAACTGGAGCCGCTTGAGTTTCCTGCAGAGAGCGCCGCAAATCCCACTTGATAACTTCTACAACCCACAACTTTTTTTTTTCCCCTCACATTCACTCTTGCCCTGTATATTTGGAAGGGTTTCCTAAAAATACCCTCTTGTTCCCCTTGGATTTTCCACGGACTGGAGAGGAGAAGACTGACTTTCTTTTTTGAAGAAATATTTCTCTCTTCCCCTCCCAACAGCTACCCTCCCCCTTT